TGCACATCATAAGACACTAAATACCCGTCTTCTGGAATTGTCGTACCATATTTGATAGGGTTCAAATATGGTAACACCTGCAAGGGTGATTAGAGGTCACCCCAAAAGCCTCTATACCTCTCGGAAAGACTGGCAAGCTACCGAGAGTATTCCGCCCGCACGGAAGAGCCTGGCAAGCTATCCGCTGTGTATTCGATATGCCAAAACCAGTAACTACAACTGGTCTCATTCACCTGACCCTGAAGGCTTCACCGACATGGCAGCACTGAGAAGGATGAGAAAGGAGAGGCCGACAAAATCTCAAGGCCGACCTAGGCTGCCACAACGAAGGAAGACAAAAATGATCGTCTGTACTTTCAATGCACGTACGCTAGCATCAGATGCATCCATCGAGGACCTGATGGTAAAAGCGCGAATGATCAAGTACGACATCATTGGTCTGACCGAGACAAGAAGACACGAATCTCACCATGCCATTTTCGACACTGGAGAAGAATTGTTCCTCGGAACATGCGATAAAAGAGGTGTTGGAGGCGTCGGTGTCCTTGTCAACACAAACTTGGCCAAGAGCATTGATTCATTCGAATGCCTAACAACCCAAATCGGACGTTTACATTTGAATAGATGTGGCTCACTGCCTGCAGTTTCTATCTTCGTTGTCTACGCACCAACATCTCATTATGATGAAAGAGAAATCGAGAAGTTCTACATGGAGCTAGAGAAGTTCTATAAAGAAGACCACACCTTCTACAAGATCATTGTGGGTGATTTTAATGCCAAGATAGGACCGAGAAGATCAGCTGAAGAACTTCACATCGGGACCCATGGCCTAGAATGGAACGAACAGGGTGAGAGACTGTCTGAGTTCATCATGTCGACCAAGACCATTCATGGTAACTCACAGTTCCAGAAGGCAGAATCTAAACGATGGACATGGGAGTCTCCCGGTGGACGATTCCACAACGAAATAGACCACATCATATTCAATCGACGGTTTTGCCTGACTGATGTCGCTGTTGTCCCAAAATTTCGAACGGGATCGGACCACCGTCTCCTTCGTGCAAAATTCTACTTCACAGAGCGGGGAGAAAGGGCTGCAAAGTTCAAAAAGAGAACTCCCAGAACGACCACCAACTGGGAACTCTTTGGTACTATTGCGGCAACATGGGAAGATGCCATTGTTGACAACATTGACGAGGAATACGATCGACTGGTTCAGCACCTCCATGAATGTGCGAGGAACGCCAAGAGAGAGATAGCCACAAAAAGTCGCCTATCTTCGAAAACTCTTGAGTTAATTCGCCAGCGTGGTTTGGCGCATGCCTCAGGCAACCGCAAGCTAACGTCCGAGCTTGCAAAGCAGTGCAGAGATGCGATCAAGGAAGACCTCAAAGAGAGAAGAGCAGAAGTACTGGTAGATGCGGCAGAAGCCGGGAAAAGTATTCGTAACGCCCGCCTGTCCTTCGCCAACTATAAGACCAAGATGACTGCCCTCCGACGTCCTGATGGATCCATCACATCCTCCAGAACGGCAATGGAGAAGATTATCCATGACTTCTACTCAAATCTCTTCGATAGCCATGTCCACTTGCTGACATACCAAATTCCAGACGATGGGTATGTCGTTCCCAACGTTCTCCCTTCCGAAATCCGACACGCCATTTCGTCGGTAAAGAAACAAACAGCACCCAGCCCAGACAAGGTCAGACCTGAACACCTGAAGAACCTGCCATCAGTACTCATCAATACACTGGCTCGGCTCTTCACTCGCTACCTGTCTGAATGCAAGGTTCCGTCCCAATGGAAAACCAGCAGGACCGTACTACTGTTCAAGAAGGGAGACATCCATGACATTGGCAACTATCGCCCGATCTGCCTATTGTCTGTCATCTACAAGTTGTTCACTCGAGTCATCCTGAATAGGATTGGCAGAACACTAGATGAAGGACAACCATGTGAGCAAGCAGGGTTCCGCAAAGGATTCAGCACCATCGACCATATCCACACGATAACCAAACTCATTGAGGTTTCTCGGGAGTTCAAGATGCCGCTCTGCTTAACGTTCATTGATTTAAAGAAGGCCTTTGATTCTGTTGAGACGGAAGCGGTCATTGAAGCCCTAGCCAATCAGGGTATTCAAGCCCAATACATCAGGATCCTCCGTGAGCTGTATTGCGGATTCACTACCAGGATCTCACCATTCTACAAAGAAGTGATCGTTGATGTCAAGAGAGGGGTGCGGCAGGGTGATACCATTTCACCAAAACTCTTCAGTGCCACCCTCGAGAACATCATGCGACGACTGGAATGGGAAGGAATGGGAGTGAAGATAGATGGTCGGCAACTACACCACCTCCGCTTTGCTGATGACATTGTTTTAATAACACCAAACATCAGCCAAGCGGCACAAATGCTGGCCGACTTTGACCGTGAGTGTGGAAAGGTAGGACTACAGCTGAATCTTACGAAGACAATGTTTATGAGAAACAGCCTTGTTCCTGACGCCCCATTCGCTCTCAATGGAACGACCATCTCCGAATGCAACAGCTATGTGTACCTAGGTCGAGAGGTCAACATGACAAATGACCTGGCACCCGAGCTGCGCAGGAGGAAGAGAGCGGCTTGGAACGCCTTCAAGAACGTCGAAGAAATAGCTAAGAGGACGAAGAACCTCCGGCTCCGGGCACATCTCTTTGATTCCACTGTTCTTCCTGCATTAACATATGCCTCAGAGACCTGGGCCCTACGCAAACAAGATGAGAACGCCATTCAGGTCTCCCAAAGAAGAATAGAAAGAGCTATGCTTGGAATATCACCTTTCACTCAAATGAAAGAAAGAATCCGGAGTTCTGACATCCGTCGACGATCAAGGATCAGGGACGCTGTCTCATTTGCCAAGGTGTCGAAAATCAGATGGGCTGGTCACGTAATGAGATTTAAAGACGACCGTTGGACTAGAGCTGTTACTGATTGGATTCCATGGGATGTCAAGAGACCGCGTGGCCGCCCACCTACCAGATGGTCAGACTTCTTTGTCAAGGTCATGAACGATCGGTTTGAGGCCCTCCATGTTCCCGGAGCGAAGAGATGCCATTGGGCTACACTAGCACGCGACAGGGACAAATGGAGACGTTACTGGCGCCCGCTCGAGCAAATCGACGACTAACGGGAAGTTAAGTGATTAAGTGATTAAGTGTGCTAGCATAGCCAATGGCATCTGCTTGTTCTAGGAATATGAAGAGCCTCAAACCGACTGTTCAGGGTCTTGACGAAGAAGTCTGACCACCTCATAGGTGGGCGGCCACGCGATCTTTTGACGTTCCCTGGAATCCAGTCGGTAATGGCTCTAGTCCAGAGGTCATCTCTAAATCTCATTACGTGCCTGGCCCATCTGATTTTCAATGCTTTGGCAAATGAGACAGCGTCCCTGATTCTTGAGCTTTGACGGAGGTCGGAACTCAGGATTCTTTCTCTCATTTGAGTGAAGCATGCTACTTCAAGCATAGCTCTTTTGATTCCTCTTTGAGAGACCTGAAGAGCGTTCTCATCCTGTTTTCGTTGGGTCTAGGTCTCTGAGACGTAAGTTAATGCAGGAAGAACAGTGGAATGTTTCTTTGTCCTCTTAGCTATTTCCTCGATGCTCTTGAAGGCGTTCCAAGCCACTCTCTTCCTCCTGTGCAACTCAGGTGCCAGGTCATTCGTCATGTTGAGTTCTCGACCTAGGTACACATAACTGTTGCATTCGGAGATGGTCATTCCATTGAGAGTGAATGGAACGTCAGGAACAAGACTGTTTCTCATGAACATTGTCTTTGTGAGATTCAGCTGTAATCTGATCTTTCCACACTCATGGTCAAAACTGGTCAGCATTTGTGCCGCTTGGCTGATGTTTGGTGTTATTAGAACGATGTCATCAGCAAAGTGGAGGTGGTATATATATATATATATTATATATATATAATATATATATAATATATATATAATAGTTCCCATTAGATTCAAAATACAAATTATAGGGGTTTTTTATTTGTTAAAGTAGTAAACATTAAAAAAGAAAGATAGGAAAATAACAATTCACCATTAAAAATGGGCCAACCCAAATTTGAGAATTCTCTTATTGACCTTTTTCTTTTTTCTCTTTTCTTTCTTTCTTTCTCTCTTTCTTTCCTTATTTCTTTCTTTCTCTCTCCTTCTTTCTTTCTTTCTTTCTCTTTCTTTCCCTTCCTTCCTTCCTTCCTTTCTTTCTTTCCCTTTCTTTCTTTCTTTCTTTCTTTCTTTCTTTCTTTCTTTCTTTTCCTTCTCATAGGGACACATCTGGTTGTGCTCAGGGGATTACTCCTGGCTCTGTATTCAGGTATCACTTTGGGCAGTGCTTGGAGAACCTCAATGTGGTGCTGGGGATCAAATTCAGGTCAGTTATGTGCAGGAACCGGGAACAAGTAGAGATGATAAAGTCCTTTACAGTTATACTATTGCCTGGGACCCTCGTGCTGACTTTTAACATCTTAATTTGTTTGAGTAGGTGATAAAGGTGCAAAGGTACACAGGGATGAAGAATCTTCTCTACCTTCCTCTCTCCTTTCAACCTTCCACCAAACTCACCAAAGCCCTTTGATTCATTAACAGACCTTATATGTGGAGCAATTTCATGTATATATATATATATATATATATATACATATATATGTATATATTTATATATATTATATAATGAACTGCAAAGGGCAAAGAATTTCTATATACACCTCATATTTCTCCCCAATTCCCCTCCTCCACCCTACTCCTATTAACATGTGTCTGAATTGTGGTACATTAATTACTACTGCTGAGCCAACATTGACACTTGATTGTTCATCAAATTAGTTTACATCAGGGACCACTCTGTATTGAAGCTTTCTGTGCATTTTGGCAAACATAAAATGGTCTGTTTCCACAGTTCTAGCTTCATACAGAATAGTTTCACTTTTTTTGTATCTCCACTTCCAGCGTGACCAAAAAAAAGAAGAAACAATGGGCAAGCCAAAAAGGGCAGTGGCCATATGCAGCCCATCCTCTGCACCAGCTGCGCCTGGTGTGTGTCCAAGGATAAGGCTATCAAGAAGTTTGTCATTAGAAACATTGTGGAGGCCGCAGCAGTGAGGTATCTTTCCAAAGCCAGCGTTTTCAACGCCTATGTGCTTCCCAAGTTGTATGTGAAGTTACACTACTGTGTGAGTTGTGCCACTCACAGCAAGGTGGTAAGGAACTGTTCTTGCGAAGCCCACAACGACCGAACACCCCCACCGAGGTTCAGACCTGCGGGTGCTGCCCCAAGACCTCCACCAAAACCCATGTGAGGCAACTACCGACCTTAAGGATTGAAGACAAACTCCTTTCGAGGAAAATAAAGTGGAGATTATATTAAAAAAAAAAAAAGAATAGTTTCACTGCCCTCCTGCCCAAATTTCTAGTGCCTTACCTCCATATCCATAAAAAAATTTTAAAAATCATTGATAACAGCTCATTGTTTTCTCTCCTGAGTTTTGCCTTTTTCAAAGTATGTTATTGAGTTGGAATCATATTTTTGGTTTTGTTTTGGCCACACCCAGTGGTGCTCAGGGGCCCATATGAAATGCCAGAGTTCAAACCTGGGTCAGCAGTGTGCAATGCAAATGCCCTCCCTGATGTACTATGGCTCCAGAAGGAATCAGTCTGTCACCTCAGTTGAGCTTCTTTTTTTTTTCTTTTGCTTTTTGGGTCACACCTGGCGATGCACAGGGGTTATTCCTGGCTCATGCACTCAGGAATTACTCCTGGCGGTGCTCGAGGGACCATATGGGATGCTGGGAATCGAACCCAGATCAGCTGCATGCAAGGCAAACACCCTACCCAGTGTGCTATCACTCCAGCCCCAGATGAGCTTCTTTTACTTTGCAACATGCATGCATTATTTTCCCTCTGTTTTCATGGCCCTGCTTCTTCTCATTGTATCCAAGCCATTGTTTTCTGGAAGACTAGTCTATGCATCCACTCACTTCCTGAAGGACCACTTGACTGATTTCAAAAAATTATGGTCTACCCTGGTGCAGATTTTCTGCCTGGATATCAATTTTCAAACCATTTGCCTAAGTAACAAGAAGTGTGATTGCTAGATCATGCAGGAAGACCTTTTTTCATTTTGGAAGAAACTGCTCAATGGTCTCTCAATGGTCTTACAACCTAGTGCTGTTTGTGTGATGTTAAACGCAATGGTCCAGGGGGTCAGAGCAACAGCGCAACGGTGACAGCCTTTGTCTTGCATGCGGCCCAGGCAGGTTTGATCTCTGGAATTGCAATAGGGTCCCCAAAAGCACCTCCTGGAGTAATTCCTGAGTGCAGAGCCAAGAGTAAGCCCTGAGCATAGCTGGGTCCCAAAATGCCAAAAGACAAAATATTGAAAAATAAAAAACACAATCTCATGACATGGACTTATGAAAAATGAAGATTCCGGGGACCCCCAGGCATGATCCTCCTGACTTTCCCTTCCTTCACTTTGGCTGTTTGCTGTTGTGGCTGGAGCCAGAGGTCATCGACATTTGATTGTGCTGGTAGTTTCCATGCTCCCACATATGCTCACCCTGGTTCCTGCCCACAGGTCACTCCCCTTATTCTTAAGGGTCACACACTCCAGTTTCAGTGCTCACCACCCACTCCTGAATGCAGTGCCCTGAAGACCACAAGCTTTCCTGTTTTCCAGACAGCAGAGATGCAAGAAGTACACTTGGTACATGTGGGTAGCACCAAGGACTGGACTTGAGGCCTCTCACTTGCATGATGGGCATTTTGGGCCACGGAATCATACTCTGTGGCCTCCTGAGAGCTGCGACCTTTGTGAAGAACACTAGTTAAGAAATGAGACCCCAGTGGTCCAGAGCCATAGCACAGCAGGATGGGCGTTTGCCTTGCACGTGACTGACCTTGGTTCCCTCAGGGGCCCCTGAGCACCGCCAAGAGTAATTCCTGAGTGCAGAGCCAGTAGGAACCCCTGAGCAGTGTGACCCAAAAAGCAAAGAGATAGAGAGAGAGAGAGAGAGAGAGAGAGAGAGAGAGAGAGAGAGAGAGAGGAGACTCTATCAGGCTGCTTGCTTTCACTCCTTGCTTTTGCTGCTTGCTTATTCTATGACATGAGTGCTGTTCCAGAACCTTCCCAATCTTGCAACACTTTGTACAAGCCAATGATCAATCAATAAATCTATTCTTACTTCTTATGACAAAACTAGCACCTTTCCTTCCAGAGCATTCTCTAGGGATGACTTTGTGTAACAGAAGCACCAAACCTGGCAAGGAAAAAGTCTGCCATTTCTAAAATAAAAGGAAAGCAAAAGCAGGCTGCAAAACAGCATTCAGCTAAGAGGCATTGGTCCCAGAGATAAATCCCCTCCCTCCCGATATCCCCTGGCTCCCAATAGTGTATTACTGGTCTCACACTATCTGGAGAAAATCCTAGATCATGAAATGCCCCATTTCTGGTGACTTGCCAAAGTAGCTTCGCACACACCCAGCTAACCAGGCACCTGTGTGTGTGTGGTAAAAAGCCTCCTCACCCTGAGGGCCTGACTAATGCTTATGGTTTTTCCTTTCTCAGAACTTCACCAACGAAAGGGAGGAGTGCCATTAGGCAATCCATGCAGTCCTGTGTTGTGTTGTTGTTTTTTTTAATTTCTCTAGGCAGTTCTTATGCAAGGACATAATGATCTGTGTACTAACAGCGTAGGGGTGAGGCACTGTAGCTGTGTCTCTTTGCATTGGGTTATTTTGGAAACCAACAAACAGAAATAATATTCAAAGACATTCTCATTCTTGCTGAACCATCTATGTCTCCACCAATGCCCATATGAGGGAGGAAATAGACACAGTGGACATCTTTATAGCTGATTTACCTTCCTGGTATCAGATAACTAGTTTTCCTATTTTGTTGTTGGGGGAGCAGAGGGCACATCCAGCTGTGCTCAGGGCTTACTCCTGACTATGTGCTCAAGGATCACTCCTAGCAGGGTTTAGGGAACTATATGTGGTGCTGGGAATCAAACCTGGGTGAGCCACATGCAAGGCAAGTGCCCTGCCCCTGATTCTGTCTTTCTGGCCCAAACTTTCCTGGTTTAGCTGCAGAGTTTTATGTATCAGGAAGTCACATCACACAGTCATATTTTTGAAAAGTAAACAATAAAACCCAAGAACATTTTCAGGGCATAGGGTTCCAAAGTAGGCACGCCCTAATGTGAATCTGGTGTGTTCATAACACATGACACCAGCGTACATTTGTATCTGAATATTTTGTAGCGGCTGGACAATTAAAATAGATGGCTAAGTGGAGCACGTCAGCTAGGAATTACAAGCAAGGCAGGATTGCAAAGTTGGACTCTAGGATAAGTGGGAAGGCTGGAGTTTTCCAAAGCACTGATCACGGTCAGTTCTGAAGACTGTTCAGCTTGCCAGTACTGAAAGAAGAAGAAGAGGGAAAGGACAGAGGATCATAAATGGGCAGGGTCTTAGGCCAAAGCAGTAGTACAGCATGTAGGGCATTTGCCTTGCGTGTGGTTGACTCTGGTTCCATCCCTGTTATCCCATATAGTTTCCTGAGCCCTGCCAGGAGTGATCCCTGAGCACAGAGCCAGGAGTAAGTTCTGGATACTGCCAGGTCCAGTTACCAAACCAAAAATATAACAAGAATAAGAAAGGAGGGGATCAATTTTTTATTCAACTACTCTACCTTTTCTGGCATCACTTAATAGAATTGTGAGTATAAGGAAAAGGAGAACCAAGAACAAAAAGAATGAATCCCCAGGGCAAGTTTGCTGCTTGAAATTTGTCAGGGATGCACTAGCACTCAGAGATCTCTTCCTGCTTTGTCAGAATCTTCTAGATTTGAAGGAGTAGGTCTGAATAGTGATTAAGAGCTCACTGTGCATCATGAGACCACAGAATAGGACTTAGAGTCTCAGTTCTGCCCCTGACAATCCCTAGGGCTTGGGAAAGTTTTCTGATTGTAAAATTGTCACACACTTCCTGCAGGTGCACTAAGGAATGCAGAAGGCAGAAAATGTGGCAGTCTGATGCTCAAAGTACTCTATCTAGGTGTATTTGTCTGTGTGTGTGTGTGTGTGTGTGTATGTGCGTGTGCGGTGTGCTTGTGAGTGCGTGCACACATATACATGCGCACACATGGGCACTCTTGCATGCATGCACACACAATTATTGCAACTCTGAGCCAAACATCCCAGTTAACGATCATTTTCTACCAGGAACAGAAAGTAGGACAAAGTCTTCTGTAGGGCCAGAGAGAGAGCTCCGTAGCTAGAACACATAATTTTCATGCTCCATGCAAAAGAGCTGACTTAGATCCCCAGTACAATGTGGGCCCCAAGTAACTTTCATGCACTGAGAACGGCCAGGTGTGGCCTCAAACCTAACAAGCAAACAAACGGGTCCTAATGATCCACACACTTGTATTTTAACCAACGTAGCTGTGATTACATGTTTGCTGGATGATGGGGATATGGGGTGTGAGCTAGGAGGTCAGAGGTCTCGGTAGCACCAGGTTAAGGTAGATGAGGGCTCAGCAGCTGGAGACAAAGCTGGAGACAGTGCTGGCGGTGGATATATACCATGGAAGGATCGGTGAAAGTGTAGTTTCACCTCTAAATGCTGGCCACCAGAAGTACAGCTTAGCCACTACAAGGAAATAGAATGGAAATGGGAAGGCAGGAGACTACACAGAACTCAAGAAGGATTGTCTCCCCTTATCCAAAGGGTGAGTGAGACTGTGTACTTGGACCATGTGATTCTATGTATCTTGATATCTGTGAGAGAATTTAACAGAAAAGTGGATAGAGTGGTGGGTGCAGAATGCAATGCTGATGACAAAGGAGCACTATTCGAATATTGTTCTGAGTCAATTTACTCAACAGGCACAAAGAGAGTGCACAAAGAGAGTGTCACCCAGGGAAGTGATTTCAGAAAAACACACATCTCAGTAAATAAGTGATGCACTGTAATTTATTAAAATACAATCTTTTATTTAAGATTTTAAGATTTTAAAATCTTACACATATTTTTCTTGAATTATCAAAGATTCCATCTTGATGGTTGACATTACAAAACAGAAGGAAGACACTGGAAAAAATATTCTTTGAAGGTGCAAGTGGTAAAAGTCTAGAGTAAGATGCCATTGATCCTGGGCCAGAGATAGTAGAGCAGGTAAGGTGCTTGCCTTACATGTGTCCAACCTGAGTTTGATCCCCAGCATCTCATAGGGGGATTGAAACTGAGCCCACCAAGAGTGGTCCCCGAGCACAGCACCACTGGGTGTGGTCCCAAAACAAACAAACAAATGAAATATTTGCTTGGTCCTTAGATAATAATAGTTTGTAGGTTTTTATTAGTAACTAAG